TTATTTTGCATTTGAATTATAACTGTCTGGAAACACTCCCAGCCTCACATCATTGGGGCCCAAATCAGTGAAACTTTGCCATATAGTTAAATGCTTGAGAGCAGAAGGGACTTCAGAATATAAGGGTAGGAAAGTGCTCTCTCACCCATTAATTTGGCTGACAGTGATGTGGCTCTTCAAGCTGTTATGCCTTCAGGAGTGAGGTCCATAAAGGAGATGGCCCTAGGCCCCTCGCTGGGACTCTCCAGTGTGGATATCCAGATTCTTTAATGATTTATAATTGGACCAGAGCAGACCATGGGGCTTTAATAGCTTTTCTCTGTGGTTTATAAGTTTGAAAAGACTTAGTACTTACTGTCTTTCTTTAGGACATTGATGGAAGGTCCCAATGCTCAAATTTTATGCTTATTAGTGATACTTTTCATGAGTTTCTAGGGCTAAAGTGACTTTTTCACACTGCTTAATGATTTTCAGTTTAACTCCCTTTCTGAGTGGGATGTTGTAAAGATTAATTAGCCAGTGTTCACAAAGTGCTCTCAAGCTGAAAAGTGTTGCACAAGGGTGTACAGACTCATTAGCTTCTTAGTCATTAAGCTTTTTAGACCTTTTGGCATTCAGAAACTAGCTGGCCAGATTAATATGCTATCTTAGAGGAAGGGGACCTTCAGAAAGAGAAGATCTTTTTTCTCTTTTTGTAGGACATCTGTTGCACTGGGACTAAAAAAGGATATAAGAATGTTTTGTTTCTCCTTATCTAATACTTCCATAGTACAATTTCTTACTCCCCACCTCTAAAATATATTCATCTGTTTTTCCTGCACATTTATTTGAAAACTGTGTGGATCATGTTGTAATATAAGTAGCAATAGGGGAATTAAGTCTGACACCCAGTGTTGAATCATGAGAACAAAAGATACAGGTCAACGGGTCAATCCTTCCCTTTGTAAATAACATCCTCTCTCAGTATGCAACATATCTTAAAGGTAAAATATTGTCTCTTTTCACAGATGTGGTCAATATATGTTAGAGTTCTATATGACTCAATTTTAAGTCTTTGATTGAGGCTGGAAAATTACAAATTGGCCACCAAAAGCATAAAGAGGTTCTGAAAGAAACCAGAAACAAACCTGCAGCTAGCTAGCTAACTAGCTAGCTAACTTTTTAGCAGCATTAACTACACATGATAGGGGACCAGTACCTTCTAATTATTAAGGGAAAATAGCTGTCAACCTGGAATTGTATATCCAACTAAATTATTTTTTAAGAGTCATGAAATAAAGACATTTTGTACAGAACAAAGGCAAAGCATTTAGCACCAATGCTAAAGGAATTCTAAGGGATTGTCTTCCGAAAGAAAAAAAAATTATCCCAGAAGAAAGGCAGGAAGGAGATGCAGGAAAAAATGAAGAGGATAACATTGATAAACATGTGGTTAAATCTAAATAAATCATTAGCTAATCAGAATAAAATGTCAAATTTTCAGTAACAAAATAGAAGTAGGAAAAAAACACATATATACCAGGAAAGTAGTGTTGAGAGATGTGTATTCCAAGTATCTTGTCATATTTGGAAGGAGGCTAGAAATGTTAAATTCAGGTTTAATTAAGCATGCACATAAATTTTCTACATTTATCACAAAAATAAAGGAAATGTGTTGTAGTATTGGGGGAGAATCAATGGAATGAGAAAAAGTCAATAGCAATTGACTTTTAAAAAAGCAAGTAAAGAAACTTACACAGATTTTAGTAATTGTTGCTGGGTCTCTTACCTTACAGTTACAAATAGGTAACTATTTTGTGGATTTCATATACACAGAATATGTGACTATGTGTGTGTATGTGTATGTATGTGTGTATATATACACACACCCACACACCCCTAAGGACAAATGGAAAAAACAACAATCCTAATGATATGTGAATGGGTACTTTTGACTTGTGCTAACAATGTTGAGTACTAGCATCATACACCGAGTGCACAGGGCATCATGTTACAGGAGCAGAGCCCCAAATGTTACACACCCAAATCTTTTATAATGTGCAAGAAACTTGCCTCACCTATATCCCAGAGGGAGATATTTTAATTGTACTGGACAGCAAATAATTCTGTTCTTTGCTCCAGAAGAAGACACTGTCTTCCAAGGCTATTCATTAGACAAACATCCTTGAAAGATAGAAGTGGTGGCTTTTATTGCCATATGTGCAGAAATGTGAGAGACCCATGAAGAATTATTTCCTAACAACTTTGGATAAATTCATAAAACCTCAGTCTTTTTCATCTGAAAGATGGAAAGATTGGTATAACCATGGAGTTGTGAGGATCAAATGATGAGAGAATGTATAAGACACATCATAGCCAAGGACTTTGTCAATATCAGCTGCTATCATGAACAAAATAGTTCACAAAGAGAATGTAAATATGGTTATTGAGTTCTTTGTTTTCTCTAGAAAATAAAATATTTCTATCACCAAATATTAGGTCATAAAAGGACCAGAAAGACTTAAGGAACTAGGTTCAGAGATTTTAAGTGATGTGGTGGCTTTTATACATAACAGTCATATAAGGGACATTAGTAATCTGATTTAAAATTCAGATTCTTTTAAATTAGACACATTGCTTGGAGCTCAATAAATATTGGTTTTCCAAATAAATTGAAGGAAATCTGTGATGTATTTGGAAACATTTTGCATGGTAATTTGGTCATTCTCTTCTTCCTATTTGCTTGACTTATAAATCATCTTCAACTTGACCTGTAAAGGTGAAAGGAGGGAGGGATGAAGGGAGGCAGGGAGGAAGGGGTGATGAGTTAAATTAAGTAACCAGGATCTTCTCCTGCCCTCCACCACCATCATAATCATTATCTCTGGGCAGAGAAGAACTGAAAACTGCAAGGAAAGTGCTTTCCATCCTTGTAGGTGAAATTGAAAGTGGTTCCGTTCTGGCTCATGGCAGAAATTTCCGGCAGAATATTGGGAAGGTTTTTGTCAACAGCATCGTGCTGACTTATCAGCCAGTCTCCTAAGGCATGAGGGGAAATACTAAGGAAGGGGACAGAAAAGGTGACAGAAACAACATCTATTTCTTGAAAAAGTGTTGTAAGGAATGAATATCTTTTGTAGAATTAGATGAACTGAGTTCCTGTATGAGTTTGAGCTACCTGCTACTGAGTTTCCTGATCTCTAAAATGAACATAAATTTCCTCCATGAGGAGTTGATGTGCAACTAAAATGAAGAACTGACCTGACAGTATCTGACACATAGCGGACCTTCATTAAATACTAGTTTACTTTGAATAAAATTCAGTGAAGGAATTTATCCTGGAAAGATCTGTAAAAATCAACTCACTGATTTTGAACCTCCACTTAATACCAACCCCACTGTTTTATTCTGTCCTTTAAAAATGGGGTAACAGCATTCGCTTTTACAGTATTCTGAAAAACTTTTCGGGAGCCAAGGCCAGAGTTGAGCATATCCAGGAAACCAAAGTAAGATTTTTTAATAGGAAAGAAATTGCAGTGAATGTAAATTATTCCTCATTGTTTGTGGATCTCAAGTCCTGGGCAAAATCATGTCCCACTTGAATAATTGTGTTCTGGGTGCCCCAGGGATGTCTCACCCACTCTCCTGAGCAAGTCTGCTCCTGCTTCTGCTCTTGCCCTTCTGTTTGCCATTATTCTGTACCTCCTCATAGGACATGTATGTGTGTGTGTGCGTGTGTGTGTGTGTGTGTGTGTGAGAGAGAGAGAGAGAGAGAGATAGACAGACAGACAGAGACAGAGAGACTGATATAAAACATGCCCTTTTGTCCCTTCAGGGATTGTACTAAGAGAAATAAATCAGAATAAAGACAACTACCAATGATTTCATTCATATATGGACAATAAAAAAACAAACAAACAAAACAACAGACAAAACTGAACCAAAACAAAGTGTAAAAGTCTGACTGCAAAATTGAGGTCACCAGAAGGTCAGGTGGGGGAGCAGGAGTAGAAAGCAAAGGGGAGAAGGGCTCAATGGACTGTGGTGGATTATATGGGTGCTTTGGTGAGGGGTGTGATGTGGTAAAGAACATCTGGGGAGGCATGAAACTATACCCCTAAATCATACGCAGTGTTGTAAACCAACATTATCTCAACTAAAAATGATATAATTTTTAAAATGTTCTTATTTTTTGGTTTAGAGAAGTACAAAGCAATGTCACTTGTCACAGTGTCCTTTGTTATGAAGAGTTTAGGGAATCATTCTTTAAATTTTCACTTTGGGAATTCTGTTGTCCTGGGGTAGAGATTCTGGAGATAAATATGAATAAGGATACAATGAAAATTTAGACTGAGACCGCCTGTCATGGGATGACTTTGTTGACTTCAGACCCATCACCCCTGGCTGTTTCTTCCCATAGGTGGAGTGTTTGCTCAAAGGCTCCCAGGTTTTGCTCAGACAGGCTCTGGGAGAATCATCCCACCAACGGGCATTCCTGTCCAGTCAGGTCAATAGAGCACTGGACACAATTTCAACTCTTAGATAAACTACAAGGCCTATCTCAACAGACATACTTTAATCTGAGAGCTGGCCAGTTCTAGGGCAAGCCAAAATCTTTGCTACAGATACATATCTACAAATAAATGGACATATCCTGCCTACCTCAACATGCGAGTGTGGACACTTGCCTAAATTTTACATATATCATAGCTCATTCATTTTTCAGTGATCAAAGGAGAAATACAAGGGTGATTTAGACACAATTCCAGTATCATAGCCCTCATAGTTTGTTGCTTTGTGTCTCCATACATGTGATTTTTTTTCTAGCTACAGCTTGATTAGATTCTCTTAGAGTTAACCCTGAAAAATATCCCTTTTGAAATTAAGACATTCAGATAAACAACTGCTTATTTAATCTCTATGATTGAAAAGGAAACATTACATTCAGGCATATGCAGGAAATGTGTAATGTGTTTAGTTCAGTGATGTTTTAATATTCTTAATGTTTTGTTGCCCTCCAGGTTATGCAGATGTATCTTCCATTCTGTGGAATCGCCATATCTAATGCTCAGCTATTTGCTGCCTCGAGGAAGGAATATGAAAGAAGCAGGGTGAGTAGAAAGAAATATGCTGACCCCCCTCCACACTGTCTTTCTCATATCTGTGAGTCGTTATGTCTTTTAAAAACAGCAGATGATCTTTGACTAGTCCAGGAATCATTTTTGTGTAGCCTTCAAGGCTATGGTTGAAGATCATCTTAAGCATTAAACACAGGGAAAGTGGATACAAATTCTCTGCTGTTGTTTGGGGAAAATAGTATCAGCTCCTTTTAGAAAGGAAATAACCTCACATCTATACTGGAAGGCAGAAGATATATTCTTGCTTACTTATAGATCTGAAACAATAATGCTACAGGGCATTTTTTTTTTTTCAATTTAGTTGCTCTGAGGAGCAAGGTACATCACAAGTATGATTTCACTCTCCCTCACAAATTTTGTTTTTAAACAGACATGTTTTCTGAAAGAGCATTACAAAATAATTGTACCATGCTGCAAACAGTTTTATAGAATTTTAAAGAAACTTGTGTAGAAGGATTGATCTCAAGTATTTTCACCAGTTACAGAAGTAAATAATAAAAACCCAACATGAAAAAAGGAAAAAAAAAAAACCAAAATGGATACTTAAAAAAATGTTAAACTGTATACTAGAGATTAAGTTCTATTAGGTTTACTCTACTATTTTTTTTTAGATTTATTTATTTATTTATACAAGAACTGGGTACAGGCCAGATGTGCGGGAGGGTGAGAGGATTCACCAGAGACAGAGTGGGGAAACAGAACAGGCAGATGGACTGAAATACACTGCTTGGGGAGCAGTGGGCAAGACAAGAGAGGTCTGCTGCGCCATGTGGGTATCTTGCTGGTCTGTCGGGATCAAACCCACACTGCAGAGGCTGCAGACAGCTTCATAGTGCAGCGTTCAACCACCTGCGACACTGGGGAGGCCCTTTACTCTACTTTTAAATAAAGGGATGTTACTAATACAACTTAGACATATTTAGCAAGAAGATGTTCAAAAAGTTGGAAATCCTAAGTTAACCTGGTAGTCAAATTGATTAAAAATTTCCTTTGCTGAGCATTATGATTTATGAATGTTTCAAGGTGACCAGGGAACACTACAACCATCTTCTTCAACTTCTTCAGCATAGCATACCAAACCTTTTCCCCTATTTTGAATAGTGTTTTCATCTTTAGCCCCATGTTATTACCATTCTTCTCTTTTATTTGGCATTCCAGCAGTGAAGGCCGCAAATTCTAGAAGAACAGCCCATTTGGCCCACTTTCTTATATACAAGTCTCCTTGTGTCATCAAGGCCTCCTGTTCACTTTTTTTTTTTTTTTTTTTTTTTTTTATTTTGTGGGACCCTCGCTGGTGGCGGGGGAATGAATTGACTCTGCAGAGGCTGCGGGCAGCCTCTCAGCCCAGCGCTCAACCGCTGCGCCACCAGGGGAGGCCCCTCCTGTTCACCTTTTGCCTTCCACTTCCTTCTGCCTTGCTAGCCTTCAGGACTAAGCTTAGCCTCTGGTTAATCTTCCCTTCTTTGCGTTTTTGTTTTTCCTTCTGTATATTGCCAGTGTTCTCTTGTGGATATTTAGTACACTCTGTTGTAGTATTTATTTATTTATTTTTTTAAAAAAATATTTATTTATTTATTTATACAAGCACTGGGTACAGTCAGAAGTGCAGGAGGGTGAGAGAATTCACCAGAGCCAGAGCAGGGAGCAGAACAGACAGACTGACAAAATACACTGCTGAGGGGAGCAGCGGGCGGCAGGAGAGGTCTGCGCGCCATGTGGGACCCTTGCCCAGTGGCCGGGAATGGAACCAGCGCTGCAGAGGCTGCGGGCAGCTTTGCAACCCAGCGCTCAACTGCTGCACCACCGGGGAGGCCCTGTTGTAATATTTCTTTTTTTTTTTTTTTTTGATAGTCATCCTCTTCAATGTTTTGAACTCCTTAGGAGATGCATCCTCATGTGTGGTATAATTCATTTATTCATTCAACAAATATTTATCATGTGATACTCTTTAGACAATGTCCATCCAAAGTCCCTGACCACATACAACTCACTATCCTAGAGTAAAAATAATAGATAATAGACAAGCATACAAATAAAAATTATGCATTGAATAATATCAGGCAGTGATAAATTCTGAAAAAAAAATGAAGTACAATTAAGGGGTAGAGACTGGTTGGTAAAGAATAGTTTTGGAGAATGTTTTAGTGAGTGATCAAGAAGGTCTTCATAAGGAGATTATGTTTACACAAAGGCCTGAATGAAATGAAGGAACAAAACCATAAAAAGATCTGATCTATATCAGGTGCAAAGACTGACATTTCGATATATATATACATATTAAATCATTATGTGTATACCTAAATCTAATATAGTACATAGCAATCAAATATCAATTTAAAAATAAGTTAATAAATAAAAATTTTGAAAACCCTTGAGAAAGATGAAGCATGGTCCATGTGGTTCAGAGAACACAGAGAGAAGAAGAGAGTGAAAAAAAAAGAGAGTGGCAAGTGAGTCAGGGGCCAGTGATAAAAAGACCTGTATTTTCCTCTTATTGCAGTGGAAAGTCACTGGGAGGTTTTGAACTGAGTTTTGATTAGTTTTTAAAAAGATCACTTTGACTTCCATGGAGATAATAAACTGAGAAGGAGGAAAAAAATTCTCAAAGCAAGGGCAAGAATTAAGAGAGGAGTGTATTAAAATCAAGAAATATGTGGGTGCAGAGATCCTGAAAGAACTCTATACTTGGCTTCTGCCAGCAGTCCGGAGGGTCTAGGACCCTAACAGGAGACACTCCCAGATACACTCCTTGAAATCCTGATTGGCACTCTGTTCCATTCCAGCCCCTCCTAGCTGGTTTTTAAGAAGATTTGCCAGAGGAAAGGAAATCGTGATCTCAAAGAAATATCTGCATCTTCTTGTTCATTGAAGCATTGTTTACAATAGCCAAGACATGGAAACATTCTACATGTTCATCTTTGGATAAATAAATTATGATATATGTATATCAGTATATTATAAAGTCATAAAAAAGAAGATAGGGTTGCCATTCATGACAATATGAATGGACCTTGAGGGCATTATACTAAGTGAAATAAAATTGCATTTAAAAATGGTTAGCAGAGACGTCAGACAGAGAAAGACAAATGTGTGCTATCACTTATATGTTGGCTCTAAACCAAGTAGAAGGCATAGAAACACAGAGGAGAATGGTGGTTGCAGGAGCTGGGGTAGGTGTGGTAAAATGGGACCTGCTGATCAAAGCTTCTACTTATATGGTAAATATGTTTTGAAAATCTAATATCGAGCATGGTGACTACACTTAATAGAACTGTATGACATACTTGAAAATTGCTAGGGGAGTTGGTCTTAACATTTTTATCACACAAAAAAGAAATTGAAATTATGTGAGGTGATGGATGTGTGAACTAACCTTATTGTAGTAATAATTTCACACTATATATGTGTATCAGATCATCATGTTTTATACCTTAAACAAACACAAAGTTACATGTCAATTCTATTTTGACAAAGCTGGAAAAAAAAAGAGATTAAAAAAGGTTTGTGCTTGGGACTAGGGCAGTGAAAATGAAATATTTATCACCAAATTAGCAGTAAATTAGTAAATCTGTAAGACTTACCATGTGGGCAATGAGTAAAGATAACTTTTGGTCTATACAGCTGGCAGGTAGACAGTTGCTTACAGTAATCTTTGGGGGAGATGTCAAGACTAGAAGTTAAAATGTGGGAATTATCAGCATGTAGATAGTATTTAAAATCAGGGTACCAGTGAGTTAATGAGAGAGAGAGTGTATAGATATAAGAAGAGGTTCAAGTTTGAGCCCTGGAGAAAAGAAAGTCACTAGAAAGAGCAGGAAAATGCAGGTGTTGGTTTCCTGGAAAGCAAGTCAAGAGCAGAGAGAATTCAATTGTGTGAAAGACTACAAGTGTCTGCTGAATTGCTTATCATCCTGGATTTTCTTTTTTTTCTCCTTTTCTGGAGCTGGCCTGCATTGTTATTTGCAAAACTTTCATCACTTGTTAGTAAGCAACAATTTTAAATTAGAAACAATGAAATGCTACAATGTGATTTGTCAATGCAAGGCTAAGGCACAATTAGTTTTTCCTCTGAGATAAATGTTCTTGTATATAGGTCCCAGAGGCCTTATTCATGCAGTCACAGCAAATTGAAAAGTTAAATAATTGTTCAGTTAATATGATTCATCTGAAGACATAGTCTGGCTGTTTAAGGAAATAATGTTTTCCCCTTTAATAACAGGGAATTTTGCTTGTAATTATTCAGATTCATTTTTACTGCTGAATTTGACCATGAAATTATTGAACATTGATCTCTTCAGTGATTTGCTGTTGAAATGTCAAACAATCAGGTGACACTTAAAACTTTTTTCACCTTCTGATGTTTCTCTTTTCTTTGGGATCATAGAGCAATCCATGGTCTTTAGCCATATTGTCAGCTCTCTTTAGAGAGAAGCCTGCTAGGATGTTTGGGCCTCTTTTAAATGCTTAGTGAACTAGATTCATTTCATGGGTCCCTTAGCTCATTCAAATGCCTTTCTACCTGAATAGAATCAGAAGAAATTTTCACAGGTTTCAGGACAAATCAAATTCATTACCAAAGTTGAAAATAAGTCAAGTCCTTGGGATGATGAGCAACACCATCTATTTGAATAGATGTAAATTTGAAAAACCCATTAAATCCTTTCATGAGGGGTCAGAATTGAGATTGCACATCTCATTAAATTCTATTGAATAAAGCATCCCCTAGCCAATTCACTGGCTGTGTAATTTTCTGATTGCTCTGTGATAGAAGCATAACAGCTACCACCTGTACATAATCTACTATTTTTAAATCTGTGGCAGTATCCATGTTATTAGAAATTGTCAATAAATATTGCAGTACAAAAAAATGCAAACTATGCAGCAACATGGATAGAGCTGGACGGGATCATGCTCAGCGAAATAAGCCAGAAAGAAAAAGAAAAATACCAGATGGTCTCACTCATAGCAGGAATCTAGAAAACTTAAATAAGGGACCAGGAAAAAGAATAACTATAAGAAAGTGAAAATCAAAATCAACAAATAACTATGAACAAGAGATACTCTATGGGGGTGGGGGGCGGGGAAAGGAGGGCTTGGAGTAAAAATAAGGGGGTTGTAATTGTATGGGGAATATAAAAATAAAATTTAAATTAAAAAAAAGAAAGAAAAAATCAAAATCAACAAACAACTATGAACCAAAGACACACTATGGGGTGGGGGGGAAAGGAGAGATTGGGGTCAAAATAAGAGGGTTGCAATTATATGGGGAATATAAAAATAAAATTAAAAAGAGAAAAAAGTTATAAAAAAAACATCTGTAATAGTAAAAAAAAATGCAAACGAACTTAACTGGATAAAATGATAGGTTACTCTAATTTGATTTTTAAATAAATATATAAGTTTTAGTGAGATTTTTCATCCTGTTTGAACAGGAATTTTAATAGTGTTTTCTTTCCTGAGATAGATAGTAGTGTTCAAATGTTCTCCCAGACAGATTGGGATAAAGCAATACTTCTTGTGTAGAGGGATTAATGGGAATTTTATATATTATTTGAAGGCCGTGCAACTCAACTATCGTTCTACACTATAATTCTTTAAGAGTTCTGTGGCGATGTATTAGTGAAAATAAGTCTCAAGTTCTACCAGGAACCTATTTCTTCCTAATGGTGAGCAAGAACTGAAATAAATATGCTTTAGGGAGAATCAGATAATCATTATTTACAAAATGTGAGGTTTATATCTATTCACACTGCAGAAAAACTATGGCAAGGAAAGGAACAACCATCTCTAGTTAATGACTGTATGGAATCATGTAGTCTTTAGCTATATGTGAAATTTATATGGGCTTATGTGACTGGCACTAGGCTCAAGTTGTGTTTTGTTGTTCAAGATATTTATAAAATGAAATGATGGAAACAAGTGAAAAGGAAAAAATGAGCCACACAAAAATATTTATGCCTTACTATGACAAAGATTAAATGGAATCTGAGAGAAAAAAACCCACCCAACATTTGAGTCCTATATTTACCAGAATATGTCCATGTTACCTTCCCTAGGCTTTGCTAGAGGTGGTTAATGACCTCTTTGAAGAGCAGACTGACCTGGAGAAGATTGTCAAGAAAATAATGCATCGGGCCCAAACTCTGTTGAAATGTGAGCGCTGTTCTGTTTTACTCCTGGAGGACATTGAATCACCGGTAAGTCATCTTTCATCTTTCCTCCCACGCTGAAGACTGCTTCCTAGAACAAGGTTGAGTTTTGCTGTAATTAAGTTTGGGAAGTCAGGGTGTGACCCACTCCCTTCAAGACGCCCCTAACCATGAGGTGGCTTTTATCAAATTAAAGTTTTCAATTCTGTCATGTTGGAAACAGAGACTCTTAGACTGACAGGCACCTTCCAGGGCTATCCCATTTTGGTGTATCTAAGGATGAAGGAAACAAGGTGTTTAACATTTACACTCTCACAGGGCCTTAGGAAGACATGTTCAGGGGTCAGTTTCCCATCACCCAGCCCCGCTGAGGGAGGGAGGTCCTTAGCATCTGTGTGTCCTGTGGTGGTCCACAACCCTCTTACTGGGAGCAGAAAATAAAGCAACACTGGAGAAGTAATACCCTTTACTCTGGGGGTTGGAGTTGTCCTTGTGCTGAGGGCGGTGGCCGGCCTCCCCTGGGCTGTCAGCAGGAGTTTGTCTTGCTGCTTCTGCAGTGCCCTTTCCAGGTTCTTGTGCTGCTGTTTTGGACCTGAGGACCCCTGCACAGAACACCCCAGGCAGCGGAAAGAGGCCTTTCCTCTTCACCACAGGGGTTCCTGTTACTCAAAGTATCAAGGAAGTGTAAGGCCTCCCGGTTGCTGCACCTTGACTTTCAAATTCTATTAAACAATTTAGCCCTTTGGGGGCGAATCAGCTGGGCAGTACACACCGATATTGAAAACAATGATGATCAGTGGCTTTCCTGGTGTGCAAGGGGTTAAGACCAGCCCTATGAAGCTGTCCGCAGCCACTGCAGCATGAGTTCAATCCCTGGCCAGGGAGGAGACCCACATGGCTCAGCAGACCTCTCCTTTCTCGCCCGCTGCTCCCCTCAGCAGTGTATTTCAGGGGATCTGCCTGTTCTGCTGCCCTCTCTGTCTCTGGTGAATCCTCTCACCCTCCCCCATCTCTGGCCTGCACCCCAGCTCTTGAATGCATAAATAAATAAATCTTTATTTAAAAAAATGGTCATTGTTTTTTTTTCTTTTTTTTTTAATTTATTATTTTTTTAAGATTTATTTATTTATACAAGCACTGGGTACAGTCAGAAGCACGGGAGGGTGAGAGAATTCACCAGAGCCAGAGCGGGGAGCAGAGCAGGCAGAAGGACCGAAGCACACTGCTGAGGGGAGCAGCGGGCGGCAGGAGAGGTCTGCGCACCATGCGGGACCCTCCTCCGGTGGCTGGGGAGCAGCCGGGGATTGAACCGGCGCTGCATAGGCTGCGGGCAGCTTCACAACCCAGCGCTCAACCGCTGCGCCACCGGGGAGGCCCAAAAAAAAAAAAAAAAAAAAAAATGGTCATTATTAATCTGACTTCTTGAAAGTTAAAATTCCAACTCTTTGGCAGCAATTTAGTATCTTTGCCATGAACGCCTTTCAAAAACCAGTTTTCTAGCAATTAAGTGCTGTTTTAATGCCTCAGAGAATATTTTACTATACCTTCTTTAGAAGATATTATTGCCTTTAGGTTTGTTTTCCTTGGAGAACAAGAACCTTAGGGTAAATTTTGGAGCTTTACTAAGTATTGTACAGTGTACAACATTGAACTTGAAGAATACATATGTTTAAAATGTTTAGGAGTATTTTTCCATATTTTAGCAGAGTTTGGGTCAATTTTATTTCAGTGGGTATAGTTTATATAGACAGTAGCCTTGCAATTATCCCGTGATTGCACAAACCTCTGCTGAGAATTGGGAGAACACATGTGAGTGTGCACACACCAATAATCCACACTTAGAGAGTTCCCTGGATGCTTTGGGAGGCACCTGAATTCATTTAATCCACACTGGGTGTTTATGAGATAAATATAATTACCATCCTCATTTTCTAAATGAGAAATAAGGTCCAGAGATTGAGACTTGCCTAGTCTTCCCCACAGTGTTGCTCCTTTGTACCTGGCAGGCTGTGGAGGCCACAGAGAAGTGGTAACTAAGGAAAGGCAGAAAGGGGCAGTGGTGGGGCTTCAGCTGCCAGGATATCCTGAGCCACATGTCCCCTTGAGGGCAAGAGGCTGGAGACCATATGAAATCTGGATAGGGACAAACTCATTGTCCTCTAGTTCATTTGTAAATGGGCATAAAAGTAATTCAAACCAGCTGAGTGTGGTGATTCCTGCTAATATTCTAACATGGGCTAACTTTCAGCTAGCTCCCTGGCAAATCAGATGACAAAGGACAGGTTATAGAAGTTGATTGGGAAGTTGGGGCAGCACCAAAAGGAATGTTGGGAATAGTAATAGCTTCATGGTATAAAGTACAGGGAAAGCGGTCAAAAACTACTCTCTAAGGTAACTGGTGCAAGCAATAAAGGTGTTGGCAGGGTACTGCAAGTGAAAAGAACTTTTTGTCATTATAACTGAACGTTCTAACATTGTAAGGAGGAGTCAGAGCAAAAAATTCCAGGCTACTCTCCATTATTTGTTCTCTTTACCCATCCTCTCCCCATCAAAGCGAGGATGAATTCCTCTAATTCAGAGGTACAAGGACTGGAGGTAAATAAAAGACTGCAGAATAAAAGTCTGATCTGCCCAGTAGTGTTTTAGAAACTGTCAAGATACTTTTGCCAAGGCCACTGCCTTTTGCCAAGGCTACTGCCTGAGGGTGGACCCGAGGGTGTGTATCTGTTTTTCACTACATTGGAAGCTGATTAGGGCCATGCTCTCCCTTAATACATCGTCTCACCAAAGGTTACTTCAGACTTAAAGGGTCCTCTGTTGGTGCATTCCCCTCATTGTCAGGTAGAAATTATAGAAAGGAGATCAGACGTAGTGTTATCTTGTTCAGGAGCAGAAGCCAGACTGAATAGGACACCGGGCACCAAAATTAGGTGCTGGCACAGTGGTTTCAACAAACAGAAAACCATGAAGAGACTAAGGTCTCTGGCTGGGACAGCCTCTTCCCCAGCTCTGAATGCTGAATGGATGGAGGAATATTACAAACCTTTGTCATGTAGACAAAGGAAAGTAGTATCATTTCAGAGAAAAAAAATCTGTTCAGTGTTTCCTTCCTCAAAAATAATCTTTGCATTTTTCTATTTATTTTATTAGACTCTTTTCTGGAAACAAGAACTTTTAATTTTTTGTGAGTGGTTTGAATAATTTTAGAAGCTGTTTATTGGGGATGTATGCTATTTTATGATTTCTCTACATTCAGGGAAAGAGAGAAAATAATTAAATCTAGTCGCAGAAGCTTTGATTCATCAAGCTCTTTTTTTTTTCGAATTCTTGAAAATTTATTTTCAAAAAGGATATAGACCATAACTATAAACAGTGTTGTAGATAATAAAAATATGTGGTGCCTGATCTCAATCCTCCAAGTCTTCTGATTGAGATCACAATAATTCTCACCTTTTTTTCTGCATAGAAATAAATCAAAAGTAATCATCATACATTTACACAATACAAATATATAGAAAAAGAACTTTATAAATTATTGATTACAGATTCTTAGTTGTACCTTCTATATTACTTCTTTAGGCACCTCCATTTCTGATTGAGTTGACATCACTGCATGTTACTACACATAGACAAGTGACAGAATCTAAATTAGTCCTGTGGTCACATTGCTTCCTCTAAAAAAATGTAATACTATTGATAAATGCCCTCACTTCCCTGCAAATCTATAAAGTACTTTGCAGTTTTTCCCTGAGTAGATTCTCCCTTAATATTACAAACTAATCCTTTAGTTTAAATATGAAAACAACTAATACCCGTTTCTATTGACTAGGTCAAATTTACTTTGTGGCTCTCTTCTCTCTACATTCACACCGTATATTTTTTTTTTCCAGAATAGGGGTGTGTGTGTGTGTGTGTGTGTGTGTGTGTGTGTGTGTGTGTAAAAATGAGAGACTGATGTGGACAAAATAAAAATGTACATATAAATGTGTGTAATTATACTTATATATGTATATATAAAATGACACAAATTAGTGCTTTGCCTAACTTATTCCCAAAGATAATAATATTGATTGTAGAGGTGGAAATAATAGGTGAGAGGGGGAAAAATAAAAGAAAAAATGTTTGAATTCATTTCAGTTACTTTGATTCATCAAGCTCTTAATTCAGTGCTTAGAGACTGCATTCATGGCCTTTAAACTGGGCGGTCAGGTGTAAATGGATCAGTTTGCTTAGAGGATGCCAAAAATAGGAAGGAGGAATGCCTTTCTAATCTCTCCTGCCAAACTTAATATTTTACCCTCCTTTGCTTCTCTTAAGTGTTTCATTCAATCAACTTTAAGTGGCTTTGTCAATGGTATTTTCCACTACACTGAAATACAAAGATTGTTCTAGAACTAGCTGCCTGTCAACATTAGGGAATATTTAGTCCTTTGAACCGAATATTCCCTGCTTAATGTCATTCCCTCCATGAACCTGTCTAAGCAATTTCTGTCACTTCTCTTAGTTCCTTTCAAGCTAATGTATTTACTATTATCCTTGTTTCTATTTGTGTTTAGTCAAGGAAAGAGAATGTAGACATTTTTATCTTATGTCCTTAGGCACTGTCTCGGCGCCAGTGTTACAAGTGTTCCTTCATGGGTAATCCTGATGGCTGGCAGCTATTTTGTGGTCCAGAACTCCATGAAGTACTTCACAGCTTCTGAGATGACTGTAGTTCGTTTTGTAAACCATGACATTTACGCTACACTTGTTTTCTAATATGTTTCTTAGCATCTTGGCTCGTATGTAAATACACATATAATTAAACCATTGAGCTACAAAATCTTTCAAATTCAACCCTTGCGAGGAAGAGCGATCATCTAGTTTGTGATCATCTTGTTGTTGGCACTACCTATAATTCAGTCCCCCCATCCTAAATGGAGGGTAAAAAACTGCTTCAGGCTTTCCTTTTTGTTTCACTTTCTTTCCATTTCCCCAGTTCTCTTTTTCTAATTTCCCTTCTCCCTGTGAGGAAACCAACTTAAATTGTTTTACTTTTTCTAGAGTGC